AAATTTTCCACAGCAAAAAAGTTACAGTGATTTGTTAAAAATGCACATTTTTGAAAAACACCCCGTAACTCCGAAACGGTAACAGATATTGATGTGCGGTTTTCACCATCATGTTTTTGATGAAAATTGAGCTCCAGACACCGATATTGGTTTTTGTCTATCTCCTATAGAAAAGGGTGTTTCCATTTAAAAGCGTCGAATTTGACCCACCCTGTACTTAACAACAGCACCATTGACGTCGTAAAATCTGTAAAATTCTTACGGCTTGTTGTAGACAATTCTCTGAAATGGGACATGCATATCGAAGCTTTGTCGAAAAAAATGAGCTCTGCCTGTTTTGCATTAAGATCTGTTTTTAAGGAGCTTAACTTGTCAGTGGCTAGAACTGTTTATTATGCACTTTCTGAGTCGCACCTCAGGTATGCCCTTTCATTCTGGGGCACGTGTTGTGCGACTCAATTTGATCGCATTTTTAAGCTCCACAAGAGAGCTGTTCGATATTCACTGGGACTAAACAGCAGAACTCATTGCCAGGACTTTTTTAAAAAATGAAAAATATTAACTCTTCCTTCCTTATTTATATTTGAATCCGTTTGCCTAATACGTAAGCATGTATCAGCTTCTCAAGAAAGGCCATCTCACACTTATCCACTCAGGAACGCGGAGCAAGATCTTTATCTACCTACCCCCACGCTCAAAGTTAGTTAAAAGTTCAATATTATACAACTCGAAAAAAATGCACAATCACCTGCCATTTGAAATCAAATCCATAACATCATTTTCCTCATTTCGCAAAGCATTGAACTCTTATTTACTAGACAAGGCTTTCTACGCCGTAAATGAATTATATTTTGATAATCGAATTTGATATTATAAACACTGGTCTAATGTTTGTTCTAATGTCATTGCTATATTTACCAATGACACCGAAATAAATGTATTTAGAGGTCATTGATATTTACTATAAACTAAATAAAATTTTTTGAATATTATTTTTATTTTTTTTATTCTTTGACATTGTAAACATCTATAAATGTTTAAACAATAAGACTGACAATATTATTTGTATAATGTTTTGTATTATCTTTTGTTTGTTTGTTTGTGTACCTTGTTTGTTTACTTTGTTTGTTTACTTTACCTTTGTCTACAAATTGTAAAATTTTTTGACAATAAAGGCATTTATTTATTTATTTATAATATTTGACATTTTCAAAATTTACATGGGATTTCCTATGTCCCGTGTTCCGATGCCACATGCCCACCACACGGTATATAATAATATATATCAATAAAATTTAAAGAAATATCATCATCATCATCATTTTCAGCTTCATTTTCAACCATTTCCTGTTATTGTGTAGCCTCCCTTACATACTCTCTTTATAGTTGGGCCCATTGTTGTTTAATGTTGTCTATACGGGCCCCAAGTTATCTCTGTTAATTTCCCATCTGAAATATACAGGTAATAATTCCCATCTCAGATATACAGGTACTAGGTATATACTACCATTTTCAAAAATGTGTAAACAACGATAATATTAGCTATTAATTAAAGTTATTTGTTAATGTACATAACTGATTTGAGGAATATATTTAGCAATATGCGAAATAGTTGAATGCGATTTAATATAACAAGCGATGTCCAAATAATAACGTATACAGTAATATTTTTTTTGTATCTTAAACATGACAACAGCGCTTTCAGATGGAGCGGACCGTCCGCGACGGAGCATCCGCGATTTCGAGCAAGTACCATGAGTTTATATGAACAATTTCATATGGGCGCGTATGCACAGTCCGACGGAGTTCGTCCGACGGCTATCTTGAAAAAACACGACGGACGGTCCGACGCGGACGCTCCGCTCCATCTGAAAGCGCTGTTACAGGGCTTTCAGACGCTCCGCGATATATCTGAAATGAATATGTGAACTATATGTGCGATATATCTGATGAATATGTTCATGTTACAGCGCTTTCAGATGGAGCGGACCGTCCGCGACGGACCCTCTGTCAAGTTTTTTCAAGATAGCCGTCGGACGGAGCACACGCGCCCATGTGAAATTGTTCATATAAACTCATGGTATTTGCTCGAAGTCGCGGACGGTCCGCTCCATCTGAAAGTGCTGTAAGGCGCATTCTCAAGACTCGCGTACTTGACAAACATTTGTAATTGGTATACAGGGTATACACTGTGCGTCGGTCATCTATACAGAATTTCTAAGCTATTTATTATAGGAACTACGCCGCACTCCCGCCAGACCCTGTAGGCCAATAAAAAATACTTGCCAAGTACACGAGTCATGAGAACGCGCCATTATGAAGGGTAGAGGAAAGTAACTGACGATGTCCATTTTATAGAATTTCGTTAGTCAAACGTACAGCTTCGACACAAAAAGTGTCATTTTTACTCCTAATAATATACTATTACAGCCAGATTACAGCCATTTGTCCAATGTTAAATGACATTTTGACTGACTTTTTAAAATAATAAGTGTGACATTATCTATCTTTCCTACCTTCTTCTATTTTTCTCCCATTTCTACCATTTGTTTCTCTTACTGGTTTTCTTCTCTTATATCTCTTGTTTCTGTTCTTTCTAAAGCTATTCTTTCTAAAAATAGTCTCCATTGTCATCACTTTTTGAAAGCATTTTGGCTTTCCATGTTACACAAATTCGAAGGAATGAACGGGAAATTCAAAATTGACAAAAATTATTTATCTATACTAGCTTATGTACTAAAAGCGATAATAAAAATAATTGCTGTACTGTTAGACAAACAGTATTTCTGTTACTTATTGACCTTTACAATTTAAACTTATGTGCTAAAATATAATATGGATGAAATATATATTTTTTATTACTAATTAAAGCTTAAACCGTATGAATAATTGTATATAAAATTTTGCAGTTATGTTACTAAAAGTTACATTACCTTAAAATTGTTCTGTAACATTTAAACCTAACATTTGTACTGGTCCCTAATAAACATTAAAAATATTCAAAAACGACACTTTGGTTGTTTTCTACGTTTGCATTTCAGCAAATCCATTACCAGCTGGTCATCTTTGCCAGTGTGTTTTCTAAACTATATACATATATACATATTTCTAATAAACAAAGATTGAATGGAACTTTAAATCCTACTCGTTAAATAACATAAGTTAGTATTAGAGGCGTCAAGTTGCAAAACCCCTCTTATCCCAAAAACGATGTTTCGAGATAATTTGCGTATTATCTAACTGTTTTGGAACATCAAGAAGCGTTATTTTACAAAAAACCTGGCCATTGAGTGGAATCATTGTTTTGTATCTGGTTTTTCTAGAGATAAAAATTAATATTTAATTTTTAAATAGAATATACACAAATATAATTCGGATAAGGTTTTATTGCAGTATGATGCATATTACGGGTTTTGCTGCATCAAGATATTTGCATCCTAACTTGGAATTATTAGCTTTGATATTTTATTAAAATTAGGTAATGATTTGAAATGGATAAAACGTCAGTATACTCTGTTTTTTTTCTCAGGTAAGATTTCGACAGACGAAGGCAGAAAAAATAGCGACGTCCCAACCAATCTTTTTATTTTACTAAAAAAAGTTTCTAATTCCGTATGATCGAAAAAAAAACGGCGTCCAGTTGCCTGGGAAATGACAATCGATGACATTCCCCATATAAATTTACATATAAAACGACAGCGATCTTCACTTCATAGCCATCGCTGACGCCGTTTTTTCTCGATCATACAGTATTTTTTAAGTTTACTATGGATGGGTTCATATATATATCCGTCATGCATCATTTCTTATTGTTTTTAACCAGTTTTATTGGTTTATTTCAAAAATGACAGATCGTATTTCAATATTATTGGTTTGACGGAAAGATGAACGACAAACAAACGCCGATGCGTGTGAACTCGTCTTAAGATTTTTGAGAGTTGTCAAACTCTTGCCAACTTATAGATTATAATTTTGTGTCAAATTATGTCAAATAGAAATGATAAATATTTTGCATTTTGGACTGTGTTATTACGTGTGTTTTGTGTTTTTTAAAATTAAGTGGAGGAAAACTCGCGGGAAAATTCTGTGTTGACCCAGACCATAGTTTACAGTTAATATTCGGTGCCCAGAGACCGCCAGAGACAGTTTGCCAGAGATTATGGCCAGAGAGATGTATTAGCCACAAATAAAGTTTGTAAATTATCTTGTATATTATACCAAAAACTGGAGTGTCTGTAAAATAGCAGCACACGATAGGTAAATCATATAATCATATTGAATAATTATTTTATTGATAAATGTAACAATAAATGCAGGAAGTTGCTTGAGCTTGAAAGCCGGAAATCTTTTTTATATCTTTTTTGGTATGTTGTGTTTTTTTTAATAAACCCTTGCTTGTTTAGTATTAACACATACTGTAATTGTTTTTAATAAAATAAATCGATTATATTTCACAATATTTTGAAGTAATCACTTGTCACTCAAATTTTAAATATATTAATTTTCTGCTATGCGTTCCAGTTGTACCAACTTAATTCTTTGTAAAATAAGATAAACTAATTTGAAAATAAAATGACAGACACATCTATCACTGTCAAGGATCTAGTCGTTGGACAGACTATAGTAATACCTGTGAAAAAATGCGGGATTTGCAACAATAATGACTCGAATAATGACATAAAAAGCAAATATAAGTGGATAAGACGGATTTTACTGCAGTAACGTAATTTGTAGTAAATTTTATATAGGAATATGTGACTTTTTCTGTAGTTTGAGACTATGTTTATGTAGATTTTAGGGTCGACGTTAAGTTAGATATGTCATTAAGCCATTTTTTTTAAATGGATAATGCGGATTTTGTAACTTGACGCCTCATTTAACTATGACAGAATTTCATGCAAAAGATCTAAAGTCGATATACTGGTTATAAATAGACTATGGTTTGCAAACGCTAATTAGTTGTTGGTAAAAGAAAAAAAATAAAATACTTTATATTTTAGGGTGCAAGAGTATGGATACCTCACAGCGAAAAAGTTTGGGAAGGTGCCACATTATTAGAAGACTACAAACCAGAAAAGAAGACGCTTGAAATACAGACTGAAGACGATCAAGAACTGAAAACTCTACCACTGAAATCTGAAAAGGATTTACCATTCCTGAAAAATCCCGACATACTAATAGGCGAAAATGATCTCACCTCTCTCTCATATCTGCACGAACCTGGCGTCTTGTATAACCTGCAGGTAAGAAAATACCCTTAATTAAAAAGACTAAAGAAGAAGTCTAACACTACTTTTGTATTCATGCATCAGAGACAGTCCTCTCTACGTCGCGCGTCGTGAGAGTTTAGTTTGACGTTTTACATGACACATTTGTCTGATTAGAGTTGAGGGTTGGAACCTTTGGTGTTACACAGCAAAATAAAATACTAAATCACCACAATACACCAAAACACTGTTACTTTTACACTGGACGTGCGTTTCGCTAAGCATGTTAGCATCATCAGCAGATGATTATAAACTTTAGTTTATTGTAAAAAAAATTAATCGCGTCCAGTGTAAAAGTAAAAGTGTTTTGGTGTATTGTGGTGATTTAGTGTTTTATTTTATATTTGTCTGAGTTTGTATCTGTGTTTTTTTATTTCATATTTATACAGAGTGTTTCAAAAAACGTGCCATCTCTCGTAATAAGATTGTTCTTGCAAAAAAAAAATTATTTCTTTCATCAACATAGGTCCGATTCTGCTTTGTTTCGTAGCTATAGGGGTGTCTTCATTTTTTTTTCACTTATTATATTTTTTTCCAAATGCTTTAAGTAATTCGAATAAAATTTTGAGGGTAAGTTATTATAAGTGTTACATATTTTAGTATTAAAAACTAAGAAGTATCTACAGATTCACCAGGCACGTACATATGGGTTATCAATGAAATGTTTTTTTCTAAAATAAACTTGTGCGCTACTGATTTTCTTTTCTCTAGTTAGCTAAAATTGTATAGACCATTTAATGCCGATTAAAAGTTGTCTCTTAATAGTTTGTTGATTTCAACCTCCTTGATGAAAAAAATACAATTATATTAATTTTCCTTAATCCAAAACTAATAGCAACCCGTAATATTTTTGATGTCACTAAATGGCTACATAAAAATACTCATTGATTCCTCATAAATAAATATAAAGAAAAAGTTCCTATAAACATAGACGCGGAAATGCATAGTGTTAAAATTCCAGGATGTAAAAACTTTTAAATATAGGTCTTTTATAATTTTCTTAAATATCATTATTAGCCGACCATACCAATAGGTATGGTAGGCTATTAGGATCGGCAAAAAAAAGTTTTTTTAATTTCACTCAAAATGAGTTTGGTTTGGTTTGGTTTGGGTCATAAATGACCTAAATACAAGATATTTTCGTGGTGTTTGTCTGTCTGTCTGTCCGTCTGTCCGTCTGTCCGTCTGTCCGTCTGTCCGTCTATAACACGATAACTCAAAAACCGCTGAACCGATTTTAACCAAATTTGGCACAAAAATACTGTGGTACCCGAGAATCTGGTCATTAGTTTTTGGTAGGGGTGGGGGTTGGTAAGGGGGTATGGGAGAGGGTTAAAATTTAAAAAAATCGTAACTCCAAAATTACAGTAGCTAGCGAAACGCGGTTTTCAATTTAAGATTAGGAATAATATTTGTAACAAAATTTGTAATAACATCAAAATCAGTCAAAGTCGCAGTTTTTGAAATAATTGAAACTAAAAGAACTGCCTAACAACTTTTTATTAACATATTTTAGTATGGGCGGCTATACGTGCCTCCCGGCGCCAATTTTTTTTTCTTTTTTTTTGCTTCCGACGACGGAAAGAGATAAACTTTCCGAAACGTTAAGAATTTTTTTGTTCGTTAGGCAAATTTGTCCTAATTTCCTAACCTAACCAAACCAAACTTCTGACAAGTAGTTTCCGTTTGGATTAACGCAGAAGTGTTTACAAAAGATAACTATTTTATTTTGTAGATTTTCTTGCAGTGGCGAAATACCCATATAGGATTTTTTGGAGAATTTTTATACAGTCTATACAACCCCCCTGTAGCCACGAAAGAAGTACGAAAAAACTAGAATCGAATTATTTTTATGTGAGGAATCTCCCCATGAGAGATGGCACATGTTTTTTAAAACACAGCCAACTATAGTCCAAATATCATGCAAATATTGTATACCCTGTATTAATTGATTTGTTCTTATTAGAAACTTTTTAACAATTTTAGTAACTATAGCATTTATTGACTCATTGTAAAACAAAACCCATAAATTATTGAGTTTACACGATTTTATTTACTTTATTTTTACTTTAACACGTTTAAATATAATTAAAACTACACTGATATACCTACTATAATTTAAGTCATATTTGGGGAAGGCATAAGTAAATGTATTTATCTAACTAATTATAACAATTTATATTTTACAGGTCAGGTTTTGTCAACGAAGAGATATTTATACATACTGTGGTATTGTTTTGGTTGCCATCAATCCGTATGATGAACTTCCAATTTACGGTGAGTCACAAAGATCTGAATCATTTTAATTAGCTAATTATCTACCTTTATTTATATAATTATATATGCTACTCGTTAAATAACAAAAATCATTAGATTGTTATTTTTTCATATACAGGGTGGCGCACCTCATTCACCTCGGTTCATTATACGAAAACGGAAAGATGTAGAAACGAAAAAAAAAGATTTGAAATATACAGGGTGTCTCAGAACTAAGATCCATACCAAAGTTATATTTTTTCTTATGGAACACCGGGTATTTTATTTCATTTTTGGATTCTTGGGCCCAAAAAAAGGCATTTATTATAGGGGTTAAATATGTTTAAAATCTTTGGTTTTTGAGATATTTAAAGATATTTAAATATGCATGCTACAAAATAATGGATTATTAACACCCTGTACATTACTTTTCAGAATTAATTCTTGTGCTCAGTTTAAAGGTAAAGAAATAAACGATCCGTACTATCACATTTTTTTTACACCATTTCAATGACACCCTGTATAATTTTATTATATACCTATACTGCAAAAAATTTGTTTTCTATTTTAAAAGTATAATAATACATAAATATACATGTTATAATAATAGATATAACTTATAAGACGTTATAAGATAAGTAACATATATAATTAAATAAGTATGAGTACAAAGTTAGAACTATAATCGGAGCCAATTCCAAATAAATTTCAATAATAATTACAAAATACTCTTAACTAGTAGAAAAGCTCATGAAAGAAAACGCCTTGCGTGACCATCTTCTGATGCGTGTCAAATACTCGTCAGCGAGTAATGGCGGTATGTATATGTATAATAATAGATATAACTAATAAAACGTTATAAGATAAGTAACATATATAATTAAATAAGTATGAGTACAAAGTTAGAACTATAATCGGAGCCAATTCCAAATAAATTTCAATAATAATTACAAAATACTCTTAACTAGTTATTAGAATATACAACTAAAATATATTTATTGGCAATCTACCAAAATAGATTAGATTTTTTTTAAATATTTAATTAATACATAATATGCGCATATTAATGTTATCCAATCGTTATACGATTTATAAAATGTATTGCGGATTTTTTTAAGTTGTTATTTGTTAGTAAACTTAACCTGGAAACCAGTAACTACAGTGTCTACTTTTTCTTTCTTATTGGCACTGGCTTGAGAAAGGAACTGAAAGGTTTCCTTTTGTATTTTAATAGGAGACCTCTCCTTAATTAATATTATTTTTCTATTGTAATTGAGAAATAATACCGTGCGAATTTTATATACATTACGATCCAAATGAGACTAACAGCGTGATAGATATTCATAAAAATAGAAATAGAAGAAGGAGAAATTCTTAAAAATATAAACAAGGTTTTATCATAATATAAGTTTTACAATATGACCTCACAAATAATAAATAATGTCTATACCGGGTGCGTCTTGAAAGCTACTCACACGTATTATAACTTTTGTATTTTTTCGTATAAAAAAAGCGAGATTTGGTATGTTAGTATATGACATAAATTGGGATTGATTGATGTACCTATTCAACGGCTGAGTTAAAGACTAATTTTTAATCAAGGGGCCTTGGAAAAATAGATTTGATCGTCCAATGTTTTTAGTGTCTTATCCTGGCCGGTTAAAAGATGCCCAAATTGTATTTTTAATCATATCTCAATTTTTCTCAAATGGAACGAAGGTGGCTCATTAACATATTTGGAAAAAGCATTTTTTACGAATAATTTGATACCGCACCCTTAGTATTTCCAGTCAAATTGTCTTTATGAACCGTATGTTGCAATTTCAAAAGTTGACGTATGATATTCGTATTTTTTTTTTATTTTGACGTATTCTACTCAGTCTCACTTTCTATCGAATAAAGTAACAAAATACCAAGGGTGCCAAAAATCAAAAGTTGTAGTCATTTCCGGTGAAACAGGAAGTGATGGAAAACAATTGAATACGTCAATCAATCCTAATTTAACGTCATATACTAACATACCAAATCTCATTCTGTATTCTGAAATATTCAAAAAGTTATAGCGGTGAGCCACTTTTTTAACGCACCCAGTATAGTACAGAATCCGGCTGCAGAATTATTACGCTCGTACGTATTTTTAATCAAAACCTAATTTTTACGTATATTTATGAATAGGAGAAGTTTACAACTATGTTTAATTAATAATAACTGATTTTGGAGACGACATTACGCTCATAAATTATTTTGACCATTTGTAGGTTAGTATTTGTAAATTAAAGTTATTTTTATTCTGTGCATGATATTATAAGGGTACCTAGCAAAAAAGTGCCGCAAATCGGGGTTGCCACGTTCAAAGCTTTTCCTACGGGCCGCGGCCCGGCAACAGTACGTCGGGCATCTGTAGCTTCTATAATAAACAACTTAGAAGAAATGTTGTACTTATAAGTGCAAACGTAAAGTAGGTGGTAATTAGAGTATATTTCAGGAAAATATTTTAACTTCTACAGGGTGGCTCAAAAAAGTATGAGTGAATCGGGATGATCACAATTTTTTTACACACCTTATATATTATTGAATTTTTGGCCTCCTCTTTTTTGTCCTCTTTAAATAATCCTAAGATATTATTAAATAAATGTTTCGATAGTTTCAAAAATATTGTGTAACGCTAAACTTGGAAGTTTGTATACATATAAATATTGTACTTATTCTTTATTTACCAGTATATTCAATGTGATGTATAAGGATTTATATAATGACTCAAATTTATTTGCAGATATTGACACTATCCAAACGTACAGGGGACAGGCTATGGGCGATTTGGATCCACATATTTTTGCTGTGGCGGAGGAGGCCTACACCAAACTGGAACGGGAGCAGAGAGACCAGAGCATTATCGTTTCTGGAGAGAGCGGTGCCGGAAAGACCGTTTCAGCTAAATATGCCATGAGGTATTTCGCCACAGTCGGTGGAAATGCGACAGAAACTCAGGTGGAAAGGAAAGTACTCGCCAGTAGCCCTATAATGGAGGTAAATATAATAAAGTCTGTCCAACGAGTCAGAGAAGATTTCGATAGACGACATCCAAAAATTGTAGGAAACACAATTTTCTTTTGAATTAAAACGATAGAGAACAACTGTCAATGTCATTTATTCTCTGTTCTTGTTGGACAGACTAGAGAAACGTTATGGAGCCAAAAATGTTAAAAATATATTAAACCCACCAATATGTAATGTTGTTGAATAGGTGCTTTCATAGACACTACTGACTTTGTTTTACATGAAACATGTGATCATATACAGGTTGTTAATTTGTTTATTACTCGCGGCATGAGCTTTATGGTTGAAATATGGCAACCTCGGCCCGCTTGTCGAGAGACGACTCGACGCACAGTGTGGCGTGGTATATGAGGACAAAATTAGATATCTCAAAAATGAGTGAACCAATTTCAATTCTGTAAACGCTGTTTTATTACTTATAGTTTAGACTAAAAAAATACAGGAATACTGAGTAGCTGAACAATGAGGAAATATATATAAGGTGTCACAATAGTGCGTTATTGGTTGATATTTTAATAAATAACCCAAATTACTAGCGATAAAGAAAAAATTCGCTTAAAAAATTGTACATTAATGAGAGGTTGCATAATCTAAAAATATTTTCATTCAAACAGGGTATTTCAGAAATCTGTAGGTAGCAAAGCAAAGCTTTGTTTTTTGACGGAACACCCTGTATAATTCTTCATATTATTTGGAATCTACGCAAAATTTTAGGCACATTTCATGTATAATATGCTATACCTAAATTCAACTGCTTTCAAGCTATTAAGGTAAAATTGGCATTTTACCTTCTTTAACCTATAAAAGTACTGTACGTCTGTCCGTTCTGTAGCTACGGGGTATCCGTGAGAGGGGAAACGATATTCTCTCCATGTTTTTCGTAAAAAATTAGACGACGCGTCCCATCAATAAAAATTCAACAAATTTGCAAGTAGCCAATAAAATGAGTGGGCGGAGCGATTTGCGGTGACGCACTCGTCAAATCGACGTATAAAATATATTGCTGTTTATTTAAATGTTTTTTGTCCGCATTCCTTTCATAGACACATTATCCAGCAGATGTACTGTATAATATATATTATGGGAGCATATATATTATGGGAGCAAATAATAGCTCTAACATTTTTGTTGGAAACACAAAAACAAAAAATTCTTCAATCATTTATATTAAAAACTTGCAGTGGCAACAACATTATCAATAAGGAAGTTACAGGGGGATCAAAAGTACCGTGGGAAAGGATGTTAGGGTTGTGCTCGACTTAGCGACTGATATTTATTATAGACCAATATTATAAATTAATTCTCTTTATGATTTTCTTTCGGATCTAATGTAAAACAATCAAACTACATTGGAGATAATGTACAACATTTTTATCATTTATTGGAGATAATGTATTTATTTATAATGTATTATTTTATTGGAGATAACTTTTTCATCATTTTAGGCCATCGGAAACGCAAAAACAACGAGAAACGACAATAGCTCACGATTTGGCAAATTCATCGAGTTACAGTTCAACAAACAATTTAATATAAGCGGAGCATCTATGAGGACATATCTCTTGGAGAAGTCGAGAGTGGTGTTTCAAGCTCCAGATGAGCGAAATTATCATATATTCTACCAGTTGTGCTCAGCCAGAGGTCGACTTAAACATTTATTCTTGGGTAAGTCCTAACTATAGACATCTAAATAATGTTTATTTAGATGTCATTAGTACTAACTAGGGTTGCCAGATTATTAGAGCTAAATTCCGAGAAGGCAAAAAAGCAACAGCGGAAAATAACGCCGACGCGACGCTCTAAAAAATGCACATCACCATCTCACCACTCACTTCCTATTCTAGAGAATTAGTTTGTGGAAACTAAATTAAAAGATACTATAGCCCAAACATGTTTTATTGAGACGAGCACATAAAATATAAACGAAGATAGTTACGGAGGTTGTTTTTTAAGTTTTTACAAAAAGTGAAACAGAAACGAACAAAGCATAAAATTTGTATGTTTTTACTTTGAGAACTTTATAACATTTGATTTTACAATTTGATTTGCACTTTCCGGGATAGTATATTTTCCGGGTTCCGGGACAACTTACCTAAACCCGGGATATTCCAGGAAATCCCGAACATCTGGCAATCCTAGTCCTAAATAATTATATCCTTAACCGATTTTGCCATAATAGTCTAGGAACGTTATTCAGAAAGAATTTTAACAATTTTTTTTTATAATACGAGAATAATCTATCTCGTATTATAAAAAACCTATTCGTTATCTACAGATCACCAAGATAAATTCACTTACCTGAATCAAGGCTCCAGTCCAATTATACAGGGTGTGAACGATTTGGTTCAGTTTGAAGAAACGGAGAATGCCCTTAACCTCTTAGGATTCTCCGAACAAGACCAGGAGAATATGTTTAAAATTCTTGCGGGCATCTTGCATCTGGGCAATATTGAATTCAAACAGTGTCTAATCAAAGTGGAGAACGAACAGGATCAAGAAGGGTGTACAATTCCAGTAAGTATTTAAAATAAAAAGGTGCCCGGTGGCGTAGAGGTACAGCTCTTATCTACCAATTCTAAGGTTGTGGGTTCGAATCCCACAGCCGGCATTTCATCAGTCGACTATTTTTAATAAAATAAAAACAGTTTGGGTACCGACTCAGCCTTAAATGAGTACTTGGGATTCACAATCCTGAGGTAATAATAAGCGGTTGAAGCGTTATGCTAGCCACATTACCTTCCTTGTATACCGAACGGCTCTGGTATGGCAGGCTGTACCTTGCTACTCCCAAGGCGTTAAACGCTATACCGGGTGCGTCTCAAAAGTGGCTCAACCCTATAACTTTTTTATTTTTTCAGATAAAAAACGAGATTTGGTATGTTAGTATTTGACATAAATTAGGATTGATTGACGTATTCAAATGTTTTTGGTTACTTCGTGTTTCACCGGAAATGACTACAACTTTTGATTTTTAAATGGCACCCTTGGTATTTTTTTTATTTTATTCGATAGAAAATGACATTCTGAATAGAATGACATATCATATGTTAACTTTTGAAATTCTCGCTTATAACACAACCATATGTCAACATGTCAAAAGTTGACATATGATATGTCATTCGATTCAAAGTGTCATTTTCTATCGAATAAGGTAAAAAAATACCGAGGGTGCCATTTAAAAATCAAAAGTGTAGTCATTTCCGGTGAAACAGGAAGTGGCCAAAAACAATTGAATACGTCAATCAATCTTAATTTATGTCATATACTAACATACCAAATCTCGTTTTTTTTTCGGGCCACTTTTGAGACGCACCCGGTATACGCGCTATTATAATTATTTAAAATAAATAACCAAGTTTATAATTCACCTTTCATTATTCGTTTTGCTTTCAAAATTCGTTGTGCGACAGCAATTCAATAAATGTTTATCCATTAATTTAAAAGTTGAGTACTAAAAAAAGTGAACCAGAGAAATAAATATTTGGTATCCCTATGCTTTTTTCCAGTGCCAACTAGGGTAAGTCTGGATATTACTGCGAACAAAAGTTTGATGATACCTAAAACTGTATTTAATTATTTATAAAATTCCTCTCATTGTAATAATAATGTGTTAACTAAACTATAATACAACTGCTTAATATAAAGTTCATATCAAATAAAGTTTTAGTTACTTAATTAAGCTTGACCGGCACAGCGCTGTCCACTTTTACACATTTTCTTTTAATCACAATATTTAGAAAGCAAAAATAAAATAATTATAAATATATAAACTTATTGCAAAATAAAACACTAAATCACCACAATACACCAAAACACTCTTACTTTTACACTGGACGCGCATTTCGCTAACCATGTTAGCATCATCAGCAGATTATTAAGACTGAATCAGTCTCTTGATGAGATAATTAAGACTGAATCAGTCTTAATCATCTGCTGACGATGTTAACATGGTTAGCGAAACGCGCGTCTAGTGTGAAAGTAAAAGTGTTTTGGTGTACTGTGGTGATTTAGTGTTTTATTTTGCTGTGTAACACCAAAGGCTCCAACCCCCAACGGTAATAAACAGTTCTTATTTACATCAACAAAACTCACCTTATTAACAGCACTAAAGGGACATAAAGGGTCATTACTCTTTCCCATTCAAAATATTGTAATAAAGTTGCGATGAGTTTTTTACGGCTATTAAGCTATCTTGTACACTTCGCACTAAAAGAGGTTCTAAAAAGAACAATGTTCGACTGCAAGATCTATGTATAAACATTTTTAAGCCTAAAGTGTCACAACACTATTTATTTAAACCAAATACTCGTTATACACAAATAAAGTGTCCAAACGAACGACAATGTCAGGAAATAAATAAATAAATGTGGCAACTTGGCATTTTTTACAGCAGAGCTACCACCTGAATCCCTAGAGCGAAATTTAAACTCCAGTTTTTTTTTAGAATTTAGAATGAGTGGGAGGGGGGTTAATCACTTCGACCTTACAGATCCATTGTGTCCCCCTTTCTTGAATCATAACTCATCATACAGTCCCAGGGCTTTGACAAAAGCCAGTATCTGGGACGGTTTTATAGAGGGTAGTTCTCCATCTCCAATATCAGTCGTACCAAAATTCATGGCACGAATGGTTGTCGTCTCGGCGCACTCAGTGATGAGGTGTACTGGTGTTTCACCATCTTCCCCACAGAATCTGCATTCGCCGTTTCTTCTTAGTTTCAATCTACTGAGGTGTTCATTGAGGAGACAGTGTCCTGTTAAAACCCCGTGACAATCCGAAGATTGTTCTTACTCAGACCCAGGAAGATCTGTGATTTTTTCTTGATCATAAGCCCTCAGAAACTTCTTCGAGTGTCTTAGACCATTGCAAGATTTCCATTCCAGGTTGCGGATGGAATCTTCCAAGTTCTTGAGTTCCGCCTTGAGTTGGTTACCACTTGGAAAGCAGAACGGTTCTGGTCCAGTTAGTGGAGTGTTCGCTCTTTTCCTAGCTAGATTATTTGCTTTTTCATTGCCTTCTATCCCAGTGTAGGAGGACTTTATTTTCTTTGCCTAATTTATTCAGCTTCTCTATGCATTCTTTGACCAATTTCGAATTGATTGATACTGAGTTGATCGCCTTTAACGCTGCTTGACTATCAGATAAGATGGCTATTTCTTGTTTCCGATAGTTCCTATCTAAGATAAGTTGTACGCATCTCTCGATAGCGTAGATTTCTGCCTGTAGGATACTAGGGTGCCCATTGGTTCGGAGTAATTAGCTCTCGGCCCAAACACTCCGATCCCTGTTCCCGTATTGGTTTTGGAAGCATCAGTATACCAAGTTATGGTATGGTCTTTTAACTGCTGGGCAAGCGTTTCGCTCTTCGAATCCTTCTTATTGCTCAATACTACATTGACATGTTTGTCAAAGTTGTACGTTCTTGGCATATCGTCCACTGGGAGTTGCAGGAGTGGTATTTCCTTTTTGAGGGTGTTCCAAGCCCCTGATCTGACAATTCTCCCAGTACTAATTCCGTTAGTGACCATTCTAATTATTGTCGCATTGGCATATCTACCAATGACAATATGCAGTGGTGTTAGATCTAGAATGACCTCCATTGCTGCTGTTGGACAGGTTCTCATGGCTCCTGTGATGCAAACACATGCTAGTCTCTGGACTTTGCATAGGTTTAGCCTTGCCGTCCGTTGCTCTAGTTTTGTGTACCAGACAACTGCTCCATAAGTAATCATGGGTCTTACTATCATGGTATACATCCAGCGCAAAATGTTAGGGGAGCAGCCCCATCTATTTCCGGCCAGTCTTCTGCATATCATGAGAGCCTTTATGGCTTTGCTGGTAGTGTTCTTAATATGCCTGTTCCACAGGAGTTTACTGTCCAGGGTTATTCCCAGGTATTTAACTTCCTGTGTTGGCAGTATTTCCTTTCCATCTAGTTGGATTCTTTTCAAGTTTTTCAGACTTCGCCTTCTGGTGAATGGCACTATCGCGGTTTTGTCTGAGTTGATACTCAGCCCGACAGTCCTACACCATCTCTCAGTGATACGGAGTCCTCTTTGGATAATATCACACAAGGTGCCTTCATGTTTCCCCCGAGCGATCATGACTATGTCATCTGCATACCCAATGCAGTGTATTCCCGCTAGAGTTAATTCATCTAGTAGTTCATCCACCACCAAGCTCCACAGCAAAGGGGAGGTTACTCCACCTTGTGGAGTTCCTTGCGTTGTTTTAACAGCTACAGTTTTGGTGCCCATCTGAGCCTCTGCTGTTCGTGTTGACAGCATTTCCCAAAACCAGCGAATAATAGTTCTGTTCACCCCTCTTGTTTCTAGAGATCGCCTGACCACCTTATGTGGTATATTGTCAAACGCCCCCGCAATATCCAAGAAGGCACAAATTGCTGTTTCTTTGCTATCCAGACTTGTCTGTATTAGCTCCGTTAATTGGTACAGAGCAGTTTCTGTGGATCTGCCCGTTCTATATGCATGCTGACTATCATGCAGTGGTTTAACCTTTAGATGATTTTCTCCAATATGGTTGTCAACTACTTTCTCCAGCGTTTTTAGTATGAACGATGTGAGACTAATAGGCCTAAATGACTTGGGATTTGTCCAGTCAGTTTTGCCTATTTTAGGTATGAAGATTACTTTTGCTCTTCTCCATGTGGTTGGTATATATCCCATCGCTAGACTGCTTCTTGTAATGCTTAGTAGATTGTGAGTAGCTATTTGCTGACCCTCCTTTAGAAGGGCAGGAAAGATCCCATCCACTCCTGCTGCTTTATAGGGCTGAAAAGTGTCGATCGCCCATTTCAGCTTTTGTTCTGTTATTGCTAGCTTGGCCACTTCCCAATCTTCCCTGCAAGGATTGTGGGGTTCAGTGGGAGCTACATAAGTATCAATAGGTATGCTACCTGGAAAGTGTGTATAAAGTAGGAGATTTGCTCTCTCTTCCTCTCCCTCCGTGTAGCTTCCGTCAGATTTCTTAAGTGCCATGTTGGGGATAGATCCACTCTTGGCCATAGCTTTGTGTAATCTGGCTGCATCAGGAGTAGAAGTGATGTTTTCGCAAAAGGATATAAAATCAGACCGCTTTGCCCTTCTTATCTCCTTCTTATACTCAGTTAATTTCTCGCTGTAGAGCTGCCATTCGCCACTGGATTTAGCTCTATTAAAGAGTCGTCGGACCTCCGATCTAAGTTTGGCCACCTTCTTGTTCCACCAGGGCTTGTTGTTACTTTTTTGTATGCCTTTACTTGCGGGGCAACTAGATTCATATGCATCCAATATTGCACCGCTGACTTCCCTTGCGTACCATTCTAGATGCAGATGGTTTCTGGCCCTACTTGCATCTATACGGTTTAGGTTGTCTACGAGATTGGTGTTATACATGTCCCAGTCTGTTTTTCTTGGATTCCTTCGAGTTTCTGTTTGGGGTGTGATTCCTCCTAATTTGAACTCGATGATTCTGTGATCTGATAGGGAGGGTTCCGTTGAGACCCTCCATTGTTTCACGTAACTGATTACACCAGCACTCCCGATTGTTAAATCTAACACTTCTGCCCGCGTTTTTGTCACAAACGTGGGGCTGTTCCCTACATTGAGAAAGTGCTTGAATAGTGCTTCCCCATACCTCATTGTGTGTATTGGAGTCGCATCCCATTAGCAGAGGTAGTCGCCGTTGGCTGCAGAATCGCACGAGCTCCCGTACCTCCGGAGGCGGTGCCTCCCCGTCACCCGGAAAGTAAGCAGAGGCAATCACGATGTTTTTACTGCAATCCTCGATATTAAGCTGAACCATGATAGGAACAAGATCTCGGGTTGTAAATTCTGAAACACATGTGTAGTTAATGTCCTTTCTTATAAGAATACAGGCTCGGGGAAATTCCTGCCTGTTATCATATATTACCTTTGAATTTTTTCCAGACAAACCTCTAATTTGTCCCTGATACACCCAGGGTTCCTGGGCTAGTACCATTGCATAATGATTTTTCTCAAAGAGTCTTGCTATTGTAGCGGAAGACCCTTTTGCATGGTGCAGGTTTATTTGCGATATCCCATGCATGGGGAGGAAGAAAGGATAAGTTCGGGGAGGGAAGAGGGGCTGGAGTAGGACTTTGGACCTGGTTTAGGTTACTGGGTGTGTGAGGATTCTCCCGTTGTAGAGGGGATAGGGTATTCCTCATCTTCCTCTGACAACGGAAGTTCCTCCTCCGAGAAGTGGCCATCAACCTTCTCCGAGGATATACACCCTTCCACGGTTGGGGTTTGGCCCCCGTGCCCTTCACAGTCGAGGAGCTAGTCTTCGGCTGAGGTACCTGTGAGGTAGAGGCTGGAGGATCTGTCTCCATTTTCTCTACCTGTTTAGCTTGGTCTCTTCTTAGACCTGATACCGGTGTTGTCCCGAATCTATAGTAAAGAGTGTATCCCTCTTTCTCTATTGCCTCCTTGGATTTGAGGTCAATTCCTATTGTGAGGACTTGGCCGTGGCCCTCCTCCCTCGAGTTGATGATTCGCCAACACGACGTCCTTACATCGGAGTTCTGACCCTGGATAAGGTTCAGCAGGTAGGTGGTGTCTTTCCCTTTGCTCCTCGGCAAAAAGACCGTGATGGTCGCCTCCTTAGGGATGTTTTCTCCCTTCAGAGCAACCAGTCCCGGCCCCTGCCAATTCTTAAGTTTAGGTGCCGTTTCTATCAACCAATCCGCCGATTTTGGAGATACACAGTCTATGAGGAGCATGCCCACCCGAAAGTGAATCCCCGCAAATCGCATTTGACCCACATTTTGTTCGTCGTTGTGTTGCTCTCCAATCGCCACTACTTCGTCCAGTATCGCCTCTTCTAGAGCCGTTTGCTGGTCGGTGGTCAGTACAACCTCTGGGTAATCCTTTGGTAGCACTGCCATTTTCACTTGTCCAGCAATAGAGGCAAAGCTGGTGATATGTCCCTGCTTGCCTCTCGGTGTTGGACGTCTTTCCATCCTGGCTTTTTTCTCTTCTTGCCGGAGCAGAGGTGAAAGGTTTTCGCTCCCTCTTTTGCCCTTTGGTGGAGATGCTCCGGCCTGTTTCTTGGTTTTTTTACCCTCCCCTCTATGGAGGAGTACTTTCTCTTTTGCTTCCTCTGGAGCAAGTCCTGCGTGGAGCAGTCGGAGGTATCTCCGTGCTTCTGCTCCGCTAAGACCCACTCTCAGCGGATCGTCCAACCCGCCTGGTTGACCCAGGCCAGGTAGACTAAACAGTAGTCTGTGTCGCCTGTTGGGTTTAGAGGTAAGCTCCCGACCCTTGCTAAAGGAGGTGGTAGCTTGAGTACCACTAGCGCAGGACGGTCCCGCGCAAGTGTCAGCCACCTCACCTGTAGTTTTCTTTGGGGGGTTTGACCCCTTGGAACTTTCATTGTTCCTGTTCCCAGTGTCGCTAGGGGTTTCCCCACAGCTTCTTCTGTGGTGTTTTTATTTTTATTACTGGATCTCATAGTGTTCCCACGAGTCGCTAGGGATAATCAGTCCAGTTCTACAGAGCCCCGCATGTAGAAGTAAGGGGTAAATACAATGGGGTGCCCCCTGATGCCCCAAGGTTGAGACCAGTAATGGCTAGTCCTCTATCTAGCCACGCATCCCTTTGACCTGGCCCCGCCATCGTAGGATTTAGGTTTTTGGTGAGGTTGTCTCCTCTTGGTCCAGGCGGTTAAGCCAAGACCCCCCCACACCCTCTACCCGCGAGACATGACCACAGACAGTAGAAGGTGCCTGGTTTAAATGTCTTGGTGCAATTCCCTGGCCACTACAGCCAGAGACAAGACAATGAGTGAGATGCTTCTTGGACCGAGCCAAAGTGCTAGAGGAGATTCTGCCAGCACCTGACAAGGAGCTTTCCCACCAACGACAAGGTCTTGCATCTCCTAGGGGAAGTAAACTCCAGTTAGTCAACCGGGTCAACCCGGCGCTGAATATGTGCATGGTTGGCAACAATGTATTTAAAAATCGCGCCCTCGATTACGTAACTAGAAGTTTAATTGATAGCAAATGTATATGTCGCAGGCGTATCGAATAACTCAGCAATTCATTATATCGAATAACGCAGCAAAAAGACTAGGCATATTATAAAACGCCGGCGTTTTTAACAAAAGAAGAATATTTTGCAAAGAGCCTATCTGTTTTCAGTCGCTTTGCAAAATGCCTAATGAAGACTAGTCAGATTGCACAAAACATTTTAGGCGGAATTGGTATAAAACCCAAAACCCAAAAAATTAGCCAACGACATTTCTTGAACTTCCCTTTCAAAATTTGGAAATAATTGCACAAAAAGTGATAATTCTGTTAAATAGAGTATGGTTGAGGATGATTATTATAAAGATCTAAATTCATTTTATTCCAAAAGAAAGCAAAGTTCCACAAATAAGCGGCTCTGTACACAGAATTGCAGAACAGAGATATTAATATTAAAGTTTTAATATATTTTGTATTTAAAATTATTTTATTTATAATTAAAATTTATGAAATAGGATTCAAGTTGTTTTCCACTAAACATAATAAAATTTTGACATAAATAATTATTGTTTTTGTATAGGAAAATATGGGATATTTTTATAAAAGCGTAAATTATTCAATATGCTTATGTTCATAGTTCACTAAACTTTTGATTCTCGATTTGGTATTTTGTAAAATGACTGAAAACAGGCAGTCTTTTTGAAGAAGTGTATAGAAATATCATTGTTTAATATGCCTAATTTTGATTAGGCTGAATGTGACTGAAAATAGATGGGTTATTTGTAAAAATGCCTTCTTTTGTGTAAAAAGCCGGCGTTTTATAATATGCCTAGTCTTTTTGCAAAAAAGCCAGATTATTCTATACGCCTCACATTTTAATAATTTTATTTATTAGATTTTTTTTCTGTGTCGAAGGTTGTCGGTTACATTCTTCATCATCTGCAACACACTGAAGACTTGTAAAACTCCCTGGACAGACGGTATCGAAGGCGTAGTTTTTAACGATGTCGTCTACGTTTGAAATTGTTGATGTCGTCTACGTTTATATTATTTTCTTAAATATCATGTTTTTGATCTTCTTAAAGTTCTTATAATTTAATAATTTTGTTATTTCTTTAGGTAACATATTCTATTTCGCGGTCGTTTCTGTTATTAATTCTTGTGAAAGTTTTTCCTTCTGGATCCGCTACTGTACAGCAGTGGGAGCTATCTTATCAATTTTAAAAAAATAGCAATAATTCTCACACACGCAGTAATACGCACATTTACCCTATGGTGCTATAATGAGTTCCGTATAAGCTAGTAAAAAAGCCTAGTAAAGTCTATTCAACGGAAGAAAAGCAGATATGGCATTATTTTAATTTGCAGATAAATTATTGTATTATCTGTTTTTTGAATGTCGTCTGTCGAAGTCTTTCCCAACTTATTAGACAGAGTTTAATGTAGAAAAAGCTTTATTTAGTTAAAAAAACATTTAACCATTGTGTTAATCGTGTTTCTGTAGATAAATATACATAATATTTTGTGTCTTGTCTTTTTCCAAGGCTACTTCATGATGCAAATCAGGAATATCATTTATGTCTCAGAATATCTAGAAATATATCTTTAGAATTCAGTTATTTTAGACCTTTTTAATTCATCCATTTTCAGAATACCGACAAGCATCTTAAAATAATAGCTGATCTACTGGAACTTGACGTCCAAGAGCTAAAACAATGGCTAGTTACCAGAAAGATCGTGTCCATGCGAGACGTGTATTTCAAGCCCATGACAACCGAAGATGCCGCCTTCGCCAGAGACGCTTTGGCCAAACATGTTTACGCGGAACTATTCAACTGGATCGTCATGGTGATCAATAAAGCTTTGGTGTCGGACATAGCTAGTCACAAGTTTATTGGGGTTCTGGACATTTACGGATTCGAAACGTTCGAAAGCAATTCATTCGAACAATTTTGTATTAATTATGCAAACGAAAAGTTGCAGCAACAATTTAACCTTCACGTGTTTAAACTCGAACAAGAAGAATACATAAAAGAAGGGATAGAGTGGAAAATGATCGACTTTTACGATAATCAACCTTGCATTGATTTGATCGAGGCAAAGTTGGGAGTGCTGGATTTGTTAGATGAGGAATGCAAGGTATGTATTTCAACTAGAACTTTGTTTCCCATTGATTCCGATAGGTTAAAGACGGAGGTCGTGCATTTGATCAAAGATACCACTATAAAATAGAATAAATTTCAAAATACTGACTCTTCCTTCCTTATTCATTTTTGAATCCGTTTGCTTAATCCGCAAGCACATATTCTCTATTCCGGAAAGGCCTTCTCACAACTATCCACTAATGCGGACCACGATATTTATCTGCCAACCCCGAGCTCAGAGCTAGTTAAGGGCTCAATACTGTACAATGCCAAGAAAATGTACAATCATTTGCCTTCGAATATCAAGTCACTTTCATTCTTTCCCGCATTTCGCAAAGCTCTGAAATTATACTTACTGGAGAGAGCCCTATATGCGGTAAACGACTTTTTTGTTGATGTTTAATCATGAACAATTTTGAATTTTAAAATTTTGATCATCTCACACACTGGTGAAAGGTCTAGTATTTAATATTTAATATTTTATAACTCTTGATTTTATGATATATAACATGATTTTATCCATTTACAGTTTTCCTTTCGTAAAATTTTCTAGATACGCCTGTGTACTGCAATGTCCATATATGTTTTATTTGTAATTTTATGACGTAATTTTTTTTGAATTGATTTGTATTGTATGACATTTTTTTATTATTTGTATATTTGTTTTTGTGCTTTTTTGTTTTGTGAATGCTTTGTCAATGAAGCTGTTTTGGCTTTTTGTACAATAAAGCGTTGTTTTTTTTTAACACAACCAAGAACTTCTTAGGTAGTAAAAGAATTCTAGGCTTTCATTGTCTTTAACAATTTAACACATACAAAACCGTTATCAAGTGTGAACTAATCTAAATCTTACACTACCGGGTTTATAGGTATTCTATAGATCTATTTAGGTATTCTATCTATTCTATAGATATCTCAGAGATAGTTCTATAGATACCAGACTGTGCGGACGTGTTTAGTGAAGCTCTCGTGATTTCTATTTAATTTACATAGTAATTTTGTAATAGTTTGCGTTAAATTTTGATAGAAATTATCAATAAGATGAGTGCAAGTAGCAGCGGTAAAAACAGTTCGCATGAATCCGATAAACCTAATATTCCATTGCAAAAACAGAGAACAACATCGATTAACAGTGATAGGAAAAACGTTCAAGATCTTACAAAAAAGGGCAAGGCTGATAGCGTTAAAACTCGAGCACAAAAGAAATTAAGTGATGTCGATATACAGGGGATTACTGAAAAAGACACCGAAGTGTTTCTGGAAACAAAAGAAAATGAGGGGACCAATAATATTTTTAAACCACGGCATTCTATAATGAGATCACCCACATGTTCCATTTCGAGTGTTGATATATCACAGGATACTGAGCAACAGAGTAGGAAAAGAACTAGGTCTGATTCCAGCCCAGGTAATTTGGAACAGAACAAGATAAGGAAAAAATTTCCGAAAAACAATTTACAAAATACAAACAAATATAACGACTCTACAGAAACTGAACAAAATTCTAAAAATAACACAAGAAATGCGTTAGAAGGACTACTAGATTATTTGGGAGTGATACACAACTATTTAGAAGTGAGCGTTTGTACAGAAAATGAAACAAATATGTCAAATCCGAGAAATGCGCTGTTTAACGTACATAGATTAGTTACCATGTTATCATATAATGTGGGGCAACTTGAGAAAGAAAATGCAAGTTTGAAACAAACTGTTGAAAAATTGAAAGGAAATCCATTAGAAAGTAATCAAACTATTAGCAATGAAGTAAAAAGTAAGACTCAGCAGAGGACATATAGCGAAATAATCAAAGCGAATAATAATACAAGCAACAGTGAAGAGACACAAATGAATCCTAAATGGAAAACACCTACTAAAGAAGAAAAATATGAATTGTTAATTAAAATTGAAAAAGAAAAAAATCCTAAATCAGTAGTGCAAGAAATTAAACAAAATTTAAAGGCAAACCAAATAAGAGAAACAGTTAAACGAGTAAAACAACTGGAGAGTGGCGGAGTAGTCATGCAATTTCATAATGTTGATCAGCAACGAAAAATTAAAGATAGTCTCAGTACGAACAGTAATTTCCAACTCAAGGAAAAAGAAAATACGTTTCCAATGATAATGGTTACTGGCATAGATAAAGGTTATACTTCTGACCAATTTATTAATGAATTAATTGAACAAAACTCTGACATCAAGGATAATTTTGGAAATGACATAAAGACACAGATAAAATATATTACTAAAAAACCATGCAGAGACATCCATAAAGAAAACTGGGTTCTTCAAGTACCACCGACGCTTTTTAAATGGATCATGAAAGGGAATAATTTAAGTTTTGATTTGATGAAAGCATATGTCACGGAATATTTTAATGTAGCAATATGTTTTAAATGTTGCAATTTTGGGCATGTTTCAAAGTACTGCAAATCACCAGAATGTTGTCACAAATGTGGAGGAAGTCATCACCCGAAGGATTGCTCGGAAGAAACCAATTTAGATTGTCCTAATTGTAAAAGACTTAGGCTAGTTGATCGTAAACATAGTGCCAGGGATCAAAAATGTCCAGCATTTCTACTTCAAGTAAAGAAAACTATAAATCATACAACATACGACCATTTTTTACAGCAAAATATACAAAACAGTTAATAAAACATATTAAGCCTAATATAGTTGATAATAAAGTTGAGGACATCAGTATTATACATCAAAACATACAGTCTATTGGAAACTCCGTAGATAAAATAAATTACATGCTGCAAAACAATCCGGAGTGCAAAATATTGTGTTTTTGTGAACACTGGAAATCGATGGAACAGTTGGAGAAAATCAAAATTAATAATTTTCGACTTCAAAATCAGTACTGCCGAGAAGCTGGACAACACGGAGGAGTAGCAATATATGTCGAGGAGACAGTCAAAACGCATGTGATCGAAGAGTTTAACAAATTGTCAGAGACGGGAACATTTGAATGTGCCGCTATTCAGTGTCAATTTCGGGGGATGAACATAGTAGTGATAGTGATTTACAGACCACCATCAGGTAACATAGTTAGTTTTTTTAGTAAAATGGAACATGTTTTAACATATATTCTGTCTAAAAATATGACTGCTCTTATAACAGGTGATTTCAACATTGAATTATTAAAAGACAATAAAAATAAAAGTGAACTAATGTCTCTTATGTATAGTTTTAATTTTGTAAATACAATAAAAGAAAACACACGAATAACTGAACATAGCTCTAGCTGCATAGATAATATATTTACAAATATGAACTATATAAAAACATGTGTTTTTGAATCACACATATCTGATCACACAGCCCAAAAAATTGTGTTTAAAATAATACCAATAATTAAAAATAGTAAAGTATATAAACGATCTTTTACGGAAACTAATAAAAAATTGTTTTTGGAATCTTTGAGCGAACAAAACTGGGCCAGTGTATATGAAGTTCAAGATAATGATACTGATAAACAGTGGTGTACTTTTCATAAAATATATTCTGAAATTTTTAACCAACATTTTCCTTTAAAGCTAGTATCAATAAAGAACAAAAAGAAACATTTATATGATAATCCACTAATTCTAGAACATAAGAAAAAAATGGATATTTTACTACCACTCTCGAAACATTACCATTATTACAAAGAACTATATAAAAAATATAAAAAACAATATGACATATTATTAAAGCAATGTAGAGCTATGTCATATCAGGGCAGAGTTGAAAAATCAGATAATAAAGTGAAGTGTATGTGGAGCATATGTAAGGAAATAATTGGTAATAATAAAGATGCATCTCCAAATAATCTTAATCAAAATGGACAACAAATGGTTGAAACATTTAATGAGCATTTATTATCAATTGTTCCCAATCTACTACAAAATTTACCAAGCGGCTATAGCATTAACACTGAAATTAATAATAAATCAATGTTTTTAAGACCAATAACGCCTCAAGAATTAATTGATATAAATGCAAAAATAAAAAATAAACATAGTAGTGGTAATGATGAAATTCCTACAAGCTTGATCAAATTGTCAACTGGTGCTTGTCAAGATGTATTGTGTTATTTAATAAACAGCTCCTTTAAGTCAGGCATATTTCCACAAGAGCTAAAAACCGCACTAATAAAACCTATACATAAAAAAGGCGATCCCAAGTTAATAGATAATTACAGGCCAATTAGTCTTCTTCCGGGTTTTTCAAAGCTCTTTGAGTTAGCAATGTTAAGTAGAATGATGTTTTTTATTAAAGAATGTAACTTGATACGCCAAAACCAACACGGGTATTTAAAAGGGAAATCTACTCAAACAGCAATTTTTGAATTTGTTCGGAGAGTTTTGGAACACATGGAGGTGGGGGAATTGGCACTAGGGATGTTTTTGGATCTCTCTAAAGCCTACGACTGTCTTGACCGAGAATTGCTCTTAAGAAAATTGGAACGATACGGATTTAGAGGGAAGTCTCTCGAGTGGCTACAGTCATATCTTAATAACAGAAAACAACAAGTTTCTATTACCAATGAAGGTAAAATATATAAATCCCAGATACGCACAAATAACATCGGTATAGCTCAGGGTAGTATATTGGGTCCAGTTTTGTTTTTATTATTCCTAAATGACTTAAATCTGGCAGTAAATGGACAAAACCAAAACATAATTAATTATGCTGATGATACCAATCTGTTAATTGGAAAAAAACACCTACCCGAATTAATTGACGAGAGCAAAATTTTATTAGATAATGTATCTAGATGGTTCAATGAAAATAATTTAATTCTGAATTCCGATAAAACAAATGTCATCATTTTTCGAACAAAATTGTCACGAACAAATAGACCACTTATATATGATTCGACTAAAAATATATTAATATCTGACCACACGAAATTTTTAGGAATAATAATTGATGAGCATTTAGATTGGAGTAATCATATAGAATATCTTTTGAAAAAGCTGGGTTCAGTGTGCTATGCAATTAGGGTAA